TACGGTTCCTAAATCAGAGTTGTCAAAGGTTAAATCTCAGGTTCTGATCCTCAAGACCTAATGACCCAAGTGAAAAATCCTTGACCAAGACTGCGTATGTCCGTGAACAAGTATGGTTGGAATAATGAAATATGAGCTTGTAAGCATGCAAATCAAGTTACGAAACCACTTGTCCTAGCCTTTTAGTCAAGGGTCATTAACGTTTGACCCTCCAAGGAAAGGCAAGAATGTGGTTTCGTAATCTGACATGTCTGTTTTGGTTTATGAGCTTACTCTAACATTTGGGACGAACATGAGTTAAATTGGAACCATCACTGAGCAGACAAATTGAGTCCGATACTTTTTGATGGCGGCCCAACACCCTCTCTCTCTTTCAATCTATCAATCAAGCATAAGTTATTCCTACTCAGCTTTCTACCTCCGTTCCTCACATTCAACATATTTCCTAAGCTATTAATTTCAATAGCCACTTATCTTTCTTTTAAACACAGACGTACCGTAATCAGCAAACATACTAGTTTGAGACCATTTGATTTCATGTCCAGTTTAAACCAAGTGTTCGGCCACTTCTAACCGTTGGATCCAGTTACCTTTGCAAGCATTTTTGTGTTCTACCAATCTTTGTCGAAATGATCGGCATGTTTCACCAGCATAACATCGACCACATGAACAAACAATCTTGTAGCCGCCGGATCTCGATAAGGGGTCATATTTCTCTCTAAAAGATGGCATAACAGTAGAAAGTGTGTGGGTTTCTTTGAATACTGTTTTTATGCCCAACTTCTTTACTAATTTGCCGTTCCTTTTTGAGGCGGAAAATTATCTGGCAAAATTGGCGGAACACTTAAATTTTTGGTTAAATACATGGATGACTATTTCGCCATCTGGCCTCATGGTAAGGACAATTTAGATAGTTTCCTATTTTCACTCAACCAGCGTGAAAGGAACATTTGGTTCACGATGGAAATCGAAGAGAATAAGTTCTTTCCTCTTATGGACGCTCTCATCATTACATAAGATGGTAGGTTAGTAAGAGATATTTATAGGAAGCCAACATATGTTGGCTCTGCTTAATTTTTTTTTCAACCATAGTTACAAGACTGAGGTTGGAATTTTGAAGTCAATGATTCTTAGAAGTATTACGCTAGCGGATGGCAAACATTTACTAAATAGGTGGAGCGGCTGACAAATATATTCCTGTAAAATAATTATTCTTTGGGCTTAATTCAGAATAATATCCATCTACATTTTCTGTCGGAGGCCATTTAGTCAAAGAGAAACTGACTGAGACCTTTGCCCATGTCCTAATTTTACCTTCATGCTTTCTCTCAAAAAAGATAGGCAAACTAGTAAAGAAGTGGGCCATAAAAACAGTATTCAAATAAACCCTCACTTTCTTCTGTTATGCCATCTATTAGAGAGAAATATGACCCATTCTCGAGATCCGGCTGCTACAAGATGTGGCCGATGTTATGTTGGTGAGACACCGCGACCTATTCGACAAAGATTGTTACTTCTCTGTATAACTTAGCTATAAATTTGGAATGCAGGATCATAGGAGTCTTTATTTTTATCCCCTTGTTCATACAGCATTATGCATCTTGCTGGTAGTCACCAAGATATTGAATTACTGTACCTTCGCCTCACTATCAACTAGAAGCTATTTCGCTATCTGCATCTGGATTTGGTTTATGTTACTTACACACGTCTCATTATTTCAAATAATTCGTATTCTGGCGTCAACTTGTCTGTCCGAACTAGCATTCCGACATTTCTGTCTCTGTGACTATATATTACTAGTGGCATTCCCTTTGAGCATCTTCGACTTTTGATACCACTTCCTTCTCATTCAGGTCACCATTTTGCCTCGTTTTTCCT